CTTGGCCCCCGGTCCTGTGCTAGGTCGTAGCCGCCACGTCCAATTCCGCTAACGAGGGAATACTAGGACACACGCGCCAGACTCCGACGGAGGCGTTCAATGCCATGAACACTGACGGCGACGAGTGAGGCGCCACGGTCGAACTCAACGCATATACCGCCACCCTGGAAAAAGACAAAGCAGCAATCGAGCCGGATATGGAAGCATTGGCCGATGACGCCTCCCGACGCAAGTAAGGCGGGTGCAGCGTCACCGGCGGAGTGGTGAGTCGGTAACTGGCCGGTCATAAAAAGACTCCATCAGGAATCAGACGACTTTTCGGGAGGAAGAAATGTCTCCAGAAAGGGCGACGCCTTTTCACCAACTATACAAACAGTCGTCGGATGCTGTGTGACATGAGCTTTCTTGATCAGGTCACCAATAGCAACAGACGACCCGTAATGTTTCCGAAGGAGTTCCTAGCATACGAAATAAGTGTGTCAATACAGACATGTCTGTTACCACGCACCGTTAAAAATTTCGCACGCGTTTATCCTTAGGGAAGACGCATCATTGATATTTATCAAGGGCACGTATAGTCTGACCTCTGCTACTGACGTGCTCCCAGAATTGGGGTGATCATAGGCACGATGATATGATGATGATGATGATGATGATACATGATGCTCGTCACGAACAAAGTTGACATCACGCAAGCTTGCACTGCACGATCCCGCACGGAACCGGCCGGGTCGGAAAAGGGCTCGTGCCCCAACATCTCAAAAATTGATATAGGGCCATGAGAACCTGCAAGCACATGGAAGTTGGAAACTGTTGTCACTTTGCAGTGCGTTCGGCCGTCACTTGTTCAGGATTAGTTGAAATGGGAAACAGTTATTATCAAATCTAAGAGTAAGTCTGCGACACCAGTAAAACCAACCCTTAAAACAATGACGCCGTTCAGCGGGTGTTGAAACAGATCCATATCAAGCGTGGCTCAACTTTTTCCGGAAACGGCCTTCCAAATGCGTTCGAGGAACGAAATGAACGTTGCTAGGGAGTCAAAACATTAAGCTTATTAGACGTGGTAAGTATCAACACATATTATCCTGACATGTGCGTACGACGGCATAACTTTGCAGGACCTAGGCATATCAAGCCAGATTCATAGGGTCGGGCTTGAGTCAGCAACCTGGCCAACTAAAAATACTTTGCATTCAAAGAGTTATTTATGTTATCCAAATGTCGGCTGAAACGGAACTTAACAGCTCACGTCCCATAACAGGCAAAGAGTGAAAAATTCATAGTCAATATTATAAAGGCTTGTGGCAAGGCAATTGTTTTTATCCAACATTTGAAATTTTCAAATTTTCAGCACACAGTTTTGCTTCGCAGCGTAGCCCCGTAATTACAAATCAGAGCTATACGAGCTTTGATGCCTAATGAAGTAAAATTATTGCCTCATACATCGCTTTTGAACTCAAATGGTCCGGCTCAAACAAACCAAAAACTTACTTTACCTTCATTGAAGGTTTGCGTGAAACACATCGATCGTAGCGTACCTTTCAAGGTTGTAGTAAATAGTCCAGTGCATATACGATAAATATTTGAAAACACTGGTGAGAAACACGGTAGCCATTCTGGAAGCGAAATTCTGTGCTTCAAAACCACTCATATATCAAATTCCAAAGCCTTCTTTGATTCAACTCAATCTTGTAGTTTGGAGGATATTAGGAACGCTGTTCTTTGTGGGTCGGTTGTGACATCCAGTGTGTCCGCAAATCATGTCAAAAATGCCACTTTTTAGTTTTCGGGGAAGACAGACAGAGCCCTGCCCTTGAAAGACATCAATGGACGTACTTAGTGGCACTTGTTGCTTCACTATAAAATATGATTTATAGTTAACTTTGGAAATCTTGCTTAGAAGACCTAACAAAGACGTGGAGGTCAGAAACTGACTTTTGCGATGTTTATGGGATTAATTCCATGTCGAGTTAGCATTTTTGCTTTTATTAGCTGGGACATGTCACTCACTGTTTCGTCTTTTCTGATGTGGTTTTCACTTCTGATAAATGTTTTTGAGGACAAATTTATCACTTCCCACCTTCGCTCAAAACCAGTTCCAGCTCACTGCGTTTTCTGCACAACTGAAAGCACCTAGAATTAGATGCAGTGTCTGAGCAAATTACCGTTCTGGGAGCTTTTTCCAGCATTTTTAAACGTTTAGTGATACGTCGCCCTACATTCGACCGAATAATTATTGTAAAAGTCATTGACATTCAACCTCTTAATTTAGCCCTTATTATAAACTATACGGGGACAGAAGGACTGTCCCATACGTCGACAAATAAGTGAGTGCAGAAGGCAGGTGCAATCGCATAACCTTGGAGCCGGATCCATCTATCAAGTCCGCAAACACTACCGCAGTTCTGCACTGTCAACCTGCACGGCCAACTTGCACTAAAGAGTCTCCCAAAGCTGATCGTATCGAAGCAAACATCATATATGATGAAATATACTCTCTTATTATCACTGGTATACTTGGAAGTGGGAAAGACCACTCCTGACGACATAGTTTCTCCGTTTAGTAAATATGCCGCCCAAAACGTCCCTGTTGGTGACATCATCGCACCTTGCACAAAATTGAGGGTCAATTGCCGGCTGTTTTGACTGGGAATCATGCTTACGAACGCCCAGATTTGAACTACAACAGTGATATTGTTTAATCTTAATCGCTCCATGGCTTAAAGCATGACAGGATTTCAGCGGCGTTATTATGACGTCATGGATGGCTGGTTGACCTTGGAGCAGGTGATGCGAACAGGTGACGAACGAACGGGTTCATCATACCGCCGCGAGTATTTATGTACCTGACCACCTTTACCAATACTATACCTGCTCCAAATAATTCCAGCTTCGGCCCAACGTTAGAAGCAAATAAAATGTGAAAATACGAATTGGATGTTTATTGAAAGCGAAGTGGGTCGATGCAACTGCTTCCCCTTCCTCTGCCGTTTCCAAGCTACAAGCGATGGGACCTCGTGGAGAAGACGCGTTTGATTGACCTCAACGAGGTCACACGGTTGGTAATAACATTATGCTGCTGTCAATAATTCCCCCACAAGGCCAGGTCAAAAGTCAATGCTTGAAAAAGTACCTTCATCACAATTAAATCTTACCCGAAAATTGAGCTGCTTCGGTCTTACACGCCCATATTCAGCAAGCAGCGATGTCACGTAACAGCATGAAACTTTAACAGACGTATTTTCTTTGTCTAATTCAAAGCACAGTGACATGCAGTTGGGTGTGCTTTAAGCATACATTTATGATGACGGGCTCTGTTAATGTAATAGTGTAAGCCCGCCGCGCGTGATTTCCGGCTTCGCCGGTTGCCGCCCACCGACTGCACCAATCGCAGATCACCGCGCAGTGTTCCTAAAAAAACCGTCGCTTCTCAAAAACCAGAAAGGCTACAGACACGTTTTTGGTATCAAATCATGCGCAATGATTCCCCTAGAGGCTTAAAATTTGGGCGCGAGTCCGCGACATTCCGGAGAGATATCTTTAGAAAACCTTTGAGGTCTCATTTACCTCCCATACCCCTATCAGGCGAGAAGGTTAACTACCCACTGCTTACAACTAGTTAATCAACTTCTTACCGCACAAGAAAATGCTGCACTGAAATGGGCACTCACAAATGCGGTGGGTGCACATTGTCTTTTACATGGGATTGGAAACACTGTCACGAGTATTGGCCATGTCCTTACAGAATGAGTCTCCTAGCTCATGGAAGGAAATGTTGAATCGTACAGTGTTTTTTAGGTCGATAGCGTCATGACATCGAAAAAACACAACTCAAATTTGTGTTATCGGAGCACCACCACTAACCACTATCCTCTATTACCTTGGACGGAGTTTCTGGCGGTTGCGTGCAACTGATCGCATGCAGCTCCTGTGGGCTGCTTGGTGTTCAGAGAACACGGGCCTAGGGGGTCATGCTTGGACTTATCGACAGCGTTCCTGTCAGAAGTCCAACAGAACAGTCAGAAGTCCAACATGGGTGACTTGACTCGATTGTTTCGCTATTTGCAAGCTAATATCATTCCAGCTACCAACTGTTTGCAAGGAATTTCAGCAATTGCGGGGTCTCGCCTGTCCGGGGCATTGATGGTAGGATGGTGCAATTGGTTAGTCGGCTCCTGACAGTTTTTGGTATCAGTTATTTGATATAAGTCAAATACAGACATATCTGTTAATTACAGACATGCCTGAAACAATATCAAGCTTCAAGTTGGACTCTAAAGTGCCGCCAGAACCTAGGCAACTGCTTCTAATCAAAAGGTCACAAGCCCATTTAAGGTCAGTGACCTTGTTTGACCTTAAGAAAGTCATGGTGACCAAAATCATGCAAGATTGCTCCGAGTTTTGCACTTGACTAAGCGCCAGAGATGCCTAAGCCTAACTAGTATGTTTCTAAAACAAAATGTCGACCCAGGCTATCTTAGGTCAATGACCTGTTCTGACCTCTAAGAAGTTCATGGAAGATGTATAATGCAGTGCCTGCTGTCAATAAACTCGAAATGAGGACCACAAACCATCCCATAGAGCAAGCTCTAGAGTAATAAGTCAGGCTGGTTTCGACCTCGGTCTGACCTTCATATCTGACCTCAGGTCAACGCCATTTGCGTATTTGAGATTTGTGGTGCCTAAGAAAGCATCTCAGAGATGTATAGTTTCGTTAAACACTCCGTTGTTGTATCAGATTGAACGATTCCCTAGACATTGCCTTCGCTGAAGCCATGACCTGATTTTGACCAGCCATAGGTCAGCGAACATACAAGTTACATCCCAATTTTGTATGTCAAACGATCCACTATTCAGTTGTCTACAGCTATGCAACCTTTGGCGCGGTTACGCAGCGCCGTTCGGAAACCATTGTGGAAAAACCTTCGGGGGTCAATGTAACCACCTCCCCACCCAAACGCGTGTTAACAGAGCTCAGTTCATACGACGCACCGCACTCAAAATCTGTTGAGAAAAAAAAACGGAGGTGTGGCCGTGCAGTTGCACTGATAAACAGCACAGGCAACTAAAGGTAACATCTATGATGACGCCGTGATGACCGATTGAACCCAGTGCAGTGATGGTCCAAGCGCGATGTTTATATCCGGAATCTCTTCGCTGACACAAGCAATTCCACCAAAAATCAGGCCCACTGCGTACCACCTTGCAATGCCGCCTTCCCTGACAGCTTCTATTAACACAGAACCCTCATCGCCTCTATTGGTAGCACACGAGACCTCCGGCGTTGGTTCAATAAACTTTGTACAAAACAGTGTACAAAACAAAACAAAAGGCCTGCACCAACATATTTGGCGACCAGCCCGATCTTAGCGTAATTGCTTCTACGATCCCCGAAATCGTGGGCCGACAGCTTGGTGTAAAGGCCGGGACGCCGGCCGCAGCCAAGCGGGTCGCCAGACGACACGACGCCATACGCCACGAAGCGGCCGCTGTCCGTGTCGCCACACACCAGCGGACCGCCTGAGTCGCCCTCGCAGCTGTCGGCGCCACCACCCGTCGGACCCGAGCAGAACATGGCGCCGGGTAGGAAGCGGTCCTGGTACACCTCGGACGCACCACAGAAGTCGTCCGACATCAGCGGCACCGAGACGCCGCGCAGCACCTTCGAGATGGGCGCGAGGTCCGCAATGCGGCCCCAGCGGGACACCTCGCACGGCAGAAACGTCTCGTACTCGGTGCCGGCTGCCGGTAGGCAGGCCGGCTGCACGTAGCGGCCGAACTCGATGCCGGGTCCGACGCGGCGACGTAGCCGCAGCAGGGCCACGTCGTGCCGCAAGCCAGCAGCCGTGCCGAACCGGCTGTGCACGTGGTAGCTGGCGACGGCAAACTCCTGCTCGAACAGCTCGCGGTCGTCAAATCGGAGGTCTCCGACACGCACCAGCAGCCGACGTGGGGCCACCTCAACCACGCAGTGGGCGGCCGTCACCACGTGTTCCTGCGGGAAAATGATGCCCCGCAGTGATATACGTAGCCCTTCACATTAGCATCGTACATGACCAGCCGCGCCTGGCACGGGTATTGACCACAATACGCGGTGGTGTTGCCCGGCCCGACTATGAACGGTCGGAGCGCCTCGTCCGGCCGCACGGTGCGGCGGCCGCAGTCCGTCGGCAGAATGTCCGGCCGGTTGCTGTTGGCTGTGGGAACCGCGTCCGCCAGCCACGCCGTCAGCGTCGGCAGGAGCACAGCCCCGAGCTGCGCGCGCACACCGACAACCATTTGTAGGTTGGAACAAACGCCTTCCACAGCCCGACGGCCGCTCCTGCCGTCACCCAACTGATCGGATGGTGCAACTCTGTGCGCCGCGGGCTACAGCCTGGAAATTCCAGTGTCTGAGGCATGCAGAGGCGCCCAAAGCTTTGCTGTTTGGGGGGAGCGAGACAATTCTGCGGACAGCTGCTGGAGCATTTACGCAAGATGGGCGAATCAAATATGCACACTAAGGGACTACTAGCCCAAACGTAACCAGTTTACGAATTATCCGTGTGCTGCGCATGGTGTGAGCCGTCTCTATAGCATTGGAAATTACACGGTTGGAAAAACCGAGGCTCATGGTAGATCAACAAGGGGAATTTCATTCCAGGTAGACATCCATCAGGACGTCAAAAAGCATCTACTCACCCACGAGCGCGGAGACTCATATCAACGCCTGCCCTTCATGAAAAAGGCAAACACGCTGCAAGCGTTCAAAGTTCTGTTTAGCATATTCTTTCATGAAAAGTCTATTGCGACGAAATTGTGCACATTACAACATCGAAACAGAAAAAATGTTGTAGTGGCCTAGATATTTTTCATCCCTGCCTTGTGTGAGACAGGTTATGGCACAGATACTACTATTTGTGGGTGATTATCTTGGGAGGTGGTGGGTGACTACACCGTCTTCCAACTTCTTGAAGGGCTATCTTAGTTCACTTATCAATACGCTCCGTTTCTTACTGCGTTGTCTCCTCAGCGTAAAAACTGGTCGCTAACTGAACACGCAAATTCAACATGACGTAATGTAACCGTGGAGCTGAAAGTTATAAAGAAATGTTTAATATATTCGTTGTCAGCAAAAAACGGTTCAATATAGTAGTTGTGATATCAACGCTACTGACGTCATAACAGTGTTTGTGAATAATTTCCTTATTGTAAGAGTGGCGCGCTTTTCCTTGTTTACCTGGAGCCTACGTTAGTGTGTGTAGTGGACGGCTGTGAATGAGCAATCAAACTGAAAGGCCGGATTATGAGTATTTGCTTTTAGATGAATGCGTCCAGTTCACTGCAAGTCACACCTCATAGTAGAATTTCATCCTCAGTATTCAGGATGGGGGTAGAATCGTTGTTAGCTTCATTTATTTTTTTGTTGCAATAGACGCTGCAAAGTGACATGACCTCCAAACATTTTGTTAGGGCTGCAACAGAGCAGAATTTCATAGTGAGATGGGCTATTCATATTTAGAGGGAAACTCACCTCATGAATGCAAAGTTCAGGGAGCCTGATTCAGGAGTGTTTTGTGTTCAAGTTTTGGATAATTTTGGGGACGTCTTCCATGTGCCCAGGTTTTGTGATGAATTATATGTTAAAACATGTTAGGTAAATTGGGGGTAAGTCCTGCCCCATTCGGCACAAGATTCGGGATGTCTTCAGGCTTGAGATCTGGCTGACGTATTTGCTATAATTTGTAGGTTGTTTGATTGCTTGAAGGCAATTTCCACTAAGTAGACTGAGACGGCGTCCCATGAAAAGAAAGCCATAGCATGGGAGTTTTATGTAAGCAAGTAAGCCATATGAAATCCTTGAAAATATTTCTATTTTCGGTATTATCATTCTACTTTAAATGCATCATTTTGACAACCATAGGTTTATTTGCTGAAAGGAAAGAAATGCGGTTGAATTCCCCAAAACGTGACAGCAGGTAGAATTTTCTTGAATGTAGCTGTTACGCGGGGAATTTTCAATTATAAAATATCGTCGTTAGGTTTCTTGATTTTTCACGGTTCACTCTCAGGGGACATCCCCACAGTGGTCACCATTTATGTCACGCGGAAAATTTCCAATACTATACCATCGTCTTCGTTTCCTTCAGCCTGATTTTTGCCGTCCGCGTAACTCGGAGTGCTGGCTTGTCATTTTTTTTTAGCAATATTGTCATGCTCACCCGACGGATTTCTCAGACACCAAACGGTAATCACCAGATTTCCAAAGCCCGGCTTACATAAAAGCAACAAGCACCGTGGCTGACTCATTTTGGATGGAGTTCCTGCATGGTTTTGAAGTTACGCACTCGCACAATGACGTTGTGTACCGTATGCCTTTCCGTACACCGTATACCGTATACCGACCTTTCAATCCACGGCTAAACAATTGCCTACGTACTACGTAGAACTTTCTCCATCGCTCCTCGCGAGGAGTCATAACGCAAAAGCATATGTGACGCATTTAGTTCGCGGTGACAAAAATCCTTTCATTATACTCGAGGAAAATTCACAGTCGCCCCGCGCTGTACGAAGTTTATGGGTATCTTTGATTTGATGTGTGAATGTTGGTCTGACCACGTCACGTGCACTCTCACGGCACAAAATGCAGGCCGCACACCGTCGATCTGCTATTTTCCTCCAGACTGTCACTGAAGCGCGTAGAAAAACGCCAGGCAGGGTTCGCCACGTCATATAACAACACACCTTAGCCACAGAGTTATGTATTAAATATACCAATTGTTGCGATACGATGTAAGCGCGAAAATCATACGAATAACTGATCAGAATTTGTGCGCGAGCACGTAATCTCAAAGAAACCTACGGAAAACATATTCTTAATAATCTAAAAGGAGAAAAAGGGGCCAGGGTTCTCAGAATCGCCGAAGGGTCGATTCCTTCGCCGGGCTTACATTTTGCCGAGGTGAAGGCGTCGAGTAACCAGCCCCCGACGCACCCGGCCGATAAGGCTCCCACACCGTGCCACCCACTGTCTGAACGTTCCCGTGTACTGCTTGAGAATGCTCTGCACTGGCTGAACGTATCCTACTTCTACGAGGTCGGTGTTTTTAAAGGGCAGGCCCCCTATTGATCGTACTGGGGAGCATGTCCGGAATGAGCACTCGGGCCAAACGTAGTAAACAAAAACCGTACTCGCACATTGAAAAACAGCATGTGGCCCGCGGCGGATTGATGCGCCGCGCGCCACATTTGAAACTAACCTATTCAACCCTGTCTCCGGGATCGCAAAAACACACACGTCTTACGAATAACCCAACTGCACTAAAAACATAGCACGTGGCCCGCGGCGGATAAATACGCCGCTTGCCACACAACCATCAACAAGCTGTACGTTTCAGATCCGGCTCACTTCTTTAGGCCTCAAATCATAACACTCGCCGTGATAGGGGATAACCATGTCCGCGGAGGTACGTCGAGGATACCCCTTTAAAGTGTTTTGCAATCACGTCCAAATTTCCGATAGTTTATGGGCATCCATTAGGCGTATTTCGACACCAGAAACGTGTGTCTAGCTTTTCTTATTTCGGAACAGTAGTAGTTTGAGGAACAGTGCACGGCGATCTACGGCCGTTGCGGGCGGCGGGCGGCAACTAATGATGCCGCGGGATGCACTGCCTGCCGGCACTCTTACATTGGCAAAGTCAGGTATCATATGTATATGTATATATATATATATATATATATATATATATATATATATATATATATATATATATATATATATATGATCAAAACAATAAAATTATATAGCGATTTTACTCAGCAGTTAACAATGAAAACACCTGCTCAAATTTTGTGTCCCCACAGGGATGCCGTCGTAGGTATGATGTAAAGTAAAAAAAAGCGATTTTCCGGCAAATTCGACAGTTGATCTGCCATAATAGGGGCAACTGTTTTTTTTTTGTATTACCTAACAACATGCAAGTTAGTATCAATTGGACACCTCGTTGAGACTAATCCATTGGTGCTTTTTGCTAAGCTCTATCTTCATCAGTTTAGAAACGCCTGGGGGTGGTGGGGCTCGCATTCCCACTCTGTTACTCCGCGGCATGAAAAACCGTGGGTCAGAGCGACGGTTAAGGAGGCAAATCAGACCATTTGCGATTTGTGGGAAACGGGGGTAAGCGTTGTTTACCTCTGTAAACACCAGATACAGTGAATCCCAAAGGGAACCGTAACTCGTTGAGACGCTACGTCATAGGCTGCAATGATCATCACAATTTGACCCCGCGAGGGACCCATGATGGCTGGCAGGGTGTGCGGTCGCGCGCCCACGCGCTACCACTCTATTCCGGTGATCTGGTACGGATCGGGCGTATTTTCGTACATACTGTTTACTTCGCCTTGCTCTTTGTTTGATGTAGAAGGGTAAAGCTAAACTTCACTGCCCAGTAAACACGGCGGCTAGCTGGAGAGGGCTGGCCCGGCGCGCAGAGCCGGGCACGGTCGGTAGCGGGGTGTCGGTGTGCGGTGTGCGGTACGCGGTGTGCGGCTGCAAACCAGCGCTGCAGGCGGCGGGCATCTCGGCCCGTCCAACTCACCCAGCACCGGTGGATGGAGTCACAGACGCAGACAAGCGGGGTGCAAACGGGTCGTACCAGTCTGTTATACAGATGCGCATTGGCGCAATGCATGCAGATGCTCAGTGACATGCAGGAAGGCAGCGAGAACCTTGCCAAGGTGGTATCGGAGCCATAAGCGCGGAAACAGGCGGAGAGGAGATGTAGGAGGGGGGAGCGTTTACCCCGCACAAAATGTTGGACGGCGGAGTGACGCCCCCCCCCCCCCCCTCCCCCGCCCTCCCCCTCCCCCCCCCCTCCCCGCCCCCCCCCCCCCCCATTCCCCGCAATCTAGGCGTGATTAAGGTTATGCTTTCCCTGTACAACACTGAGCCAACTTCAGGAAAATTTTCAGAAAAATGGAAATAAGGCCGGATTTCTGCCCACAAAACACTATTCAGCCTTCAACTGTTATTGCATACTAGCATTTCCCTCATGCAAATGTCGTCTGCTGCAGTGAGTTCCAAGTCCCTGCGGCTCAGTAAAAGTTGATTGCTTTGAGGGTACTGGTCAAACTGACTCATTGCCGGCGCGAGTAGTCACTGCACTATTTTGTGTATGTTTAAGCTTACTATTCTTCATTACCATGCTCAGCAAGC